GATTGAGAGATTACATGAGACAGGATACGGATTGTAAAGTTGTACTCTTTCTTTTAACTTACCTTCGGATGTTTAGTCATGTTTATTTTGTGCTGAAACTGGTATTAATGTGGAGGAGATGATCACTTCATGTGCGCCTCGCGCTGCCGCGTCTGTTGAACTGAGGCGCTACAGCAATCTGTCACTCCACATTAAACGGCGCCAAAACGGCATTTGTTGTTTAAATGCTGCAATACAATGAATAGAATTTGAAATCTGAGACTTTGTTTCATATTAAAAGTACCAAAGCACCATGCTTATTGCAATATATTGGATGGGAGGTCCCTTCAATGTTCCGTCCATTAACTGAAAACAGGCTAGACTAATCGATTCTTGGGATTTAAGAATCGATATCGTTCCGTAAAAATGAGAATCGATTAAAAACGAGATATCGATATTTTTTACCCAGCCTTAATCTATATATATATAAGAAATCATATGTTTTCCTGGATGTATAATTTGGCTAAATCTGGTAAGTAGGGCATAGTACAAGTTCAATTCATGAAAATGGATCAACAAATAGGCAGGCTAACAAAAGAACTGGTTCATTCAGAGCTAGATTAATGCCGATGAAAGACCCTTTAGACAAATACTGTGAGTCATTCACACAGATGCTGTCCATGTGTACTCCTGCTGTCCCCTTACATTACATCCTGTCCTACAGCGCACATGTACAGCTCCCTGTCAATATTGCATATTTTAAAGGTAAAAACAAATCAAAACAGACAATGACAATCTAAGCAAGGATTTGGGCAGTCTTCCGCTCATGGCTTTGCTCTCTATCTGACCCTGTGTCTGATCTTTATTATGTGTACTGGATCTCATGTCCCTGGAGAAGACAGTGAAACCAACACACACACACACCCACGCACGGCACATCAAACCGCAGGAAAACCAATCCATCATCCCGTGTGTGAGGAAGACAGAATCCAGCGCAGGTGTTCGGAGCATTTATGGCTTTTAATGATCAGGTTTCAGTCAATATTGATTATGTGCATGAGCCTTTTATTTGGACTGAACAATGCAACAGCATTTTCACTATTATGTCATATTTTCTGTGCTTTCAGTTTGAAGTTAGCATAAGGTGTTTCAGCAACATTAATCGATATATTACAAACAAAACAAACTCAAAATGTTTAATGCGGTAGTGGTGAATGATGTGGGCATAATAATGAGTCAGTGACAAATAAGGATGTCCAAGATGATGAAAAGGATAAATGTTTTTAGAAATATTTAAAATATTTTAGTTTAAAAATGTCCTTAATCATTTTCAACAGTATTTTATTTAATAATAAAAAAAAAATCATGATTTTCCCAGGTAAAATATTTTACCCCATTTGACCTGGACAAAATGTTTCTTTTCATAAAAGGTCAAAATTTATGATTAATAAAATTTACTTACTAACCAAGATGGGTCCTTTTTGAAAACTGTTTTGTGGGGGTTTTGTCACATGACTAAAAAACGGCTTCCTGAATCCAAACTGACTTTGATTTGGAGGACAAATACGTTTTTCAAGTATTAATGATATTTTAAAACAAAATTGCTTCACTCATCATTGATTATTAAAAAACAGTATTATATGTAATTTTATAATAATTGTAAAATAAAATATGCCAAACTACTTTTACCAGCATTATTTTACCCCCAACCATAATTTTTTTTTATGAATTGCATTTTATGTATTTATATAACTGGAGTTTTGAATGGGATAAAAAAATTACTCCTATACTTATATGAAGAAGGTACAGTATTTGTGTTAAATATAAAAGTACAAAAATATAAAAGTACCAAATTTATTTAAATGTATTAGGCTACAAATAAAATACATTAAATGCTTCTTTCAAATAAATGAATAAGTAAACAGGCGTTTGAACATGGCAGAGTTCATATTTTCATTATAATTTATTTTTTTCAAATTTGTGAATGTAACGATTGAAGTGATTGAGTAGCCTACGTTTTACAAGAAAATAGCCTACTATTTACTTGCCGTTTCTTAATCATTTGTGAAATTTACTAGCAATTTCTGATTGAAAATGCAATGACAAAAAGAGAGAGTTACAGTTGTAATAATATATTTAATTGACTTTTCAGAAGCTTTTAAAACAATTATCTCCATATCCTGCTGCATAAGCAAAATATTTATCTAAAACGAAAGCACCTACAACCGCCATCAATCTGTCTGAACTAAACGTCATTCTGTTCCTGAACGCTCTCTCAGCTAGTATACACTACACATGACAGATACAGCTACAACACCTCTGAGGGATGCGCATTTGGTGCTCTCATTTTCCCTTATTCAACCAAACATGAACCACTCCGCCATTTAACGATCCATCCGGAGATGCGAGCCAGCTGCATTCATGTTAAAAGCACGGGCACTTCCTGGGCAGATCAGTTCACCAGCTGGAGCTTTACGCAATGGAATATAATGCACTGGTGATCAATCACAGGGGTGAGGCTTTGCCAAAACGCATATATTGAGCTCATCTCTAGAACTAGAAGATAGAGTTATGCAAACATCCCCTCAATTCTATCCTCATTACGCCTATAAATACCAAACCGAGCAAAATAAAACAAAAACGCAGAGGTCTGTCGACAGAACCCTGCGTAATTCCTCAAACGTCCGTGCAGAATAAGGGCGTTCCTGTGTGATAGACCATCTTTACATTGGTGCATCAAGGTTTTTTGGTGCTTGTCTGGTTCTCGTGCTATATATTAATACATTATGCAATGAGAAAAAACCTATTCATGTCATGATGCACAATGCGCATCCGCAACATCCCGAGAGTAATGTCCTCCCCGTTCAGCACAATGGCAGGGAAACAACCAGCCGCATCCAGGGGGAACCGAACGCTGAGGAACACTAATGACACATGCAACGGGAAGGTACCATAAAATAGCACGCACGTATGGTTGAATATTAAACCTCAGTAGCCGAGGATTAACATTATGGTCTTACTTTCGCCAACGACCGCCTTTAATCCAATTGGTGCCATGATGCTCCTAAGTGTTCGCCCGTGTGCTATATCTTCTCCTCCCTCTCCTCTTACTGTCTCTGGCAGAGCGGTGCTTCGCACTCACAGCAGCTGACTGCGGAGATTCGTCACTGCTTAAGCGCCCCTCCCTCACATGCGCTCGTGCTACCGAGCACCGACCGTTATATGCTGCGCGTTTGCCAAACGCTGAGGGCGCAGACACAGAATCACAAGTGAATCCCTCCTTGATTTCACGCTGATTGTTCATGCCATGATCAGTGGAGGTTGTAAAATACCCTTGCAACTGTTTCCACTGTTCATTGACCCCGCTACGTGACAAAAAGAGCAGGTCACTCAATTAGAGAAGCAACTAAAGGTTAAATATGTTACACTGAATTTTAATTTCACTGACTACGAAGCAAAGCAGTTTTAGTTTACTTCATCAAATTAACAACATACGTTGTTAAAATAAGAATAACAATTAAATTAAATAAAGATATACTGTTATATTTTACATTTTACTATTGTCATGTAAAGTATCATATGTGTATATTATACATATTCCTGGCTAGAGCAGCATTTAGTCATTTTGACCGCACGAGGGCGATAAACGCCTAAAGGTAAACCCTTTATCGTTTTTTTTTTTGCTTCAAATATTTTGTATTTTTATATAATATATATATATAATATTTATATAATATTATATATCAATGCATATCAATATTATTCAATCAAAATGTTTTTTGTTTTTTTAAATAAAAGTGTCTTTTAGTATAAAAGTAGGCTAATTTAAACAGTTGTTTTTAGGAAATTAGATTATTTAATCTCTCTCTCTCTCTCTCTTTCTCTCTCTCTCTAAGATACAATTGTGCCTTTTCCTCTCTTTCCCTTGACTTAAAAAGAAAAGCAAAGCAAGCCTCAAAGGCTTCAGGTTCCTAAAAAGCAGTTTGCATTTCCTGGAGAAAATATCAGCTTTGTAATTCAGTTTCAAAGATATTTGTGGAACGGAATTTGCAAACTCTATAATTCTTGTAAGACTGAAAAAATATTCATATCTTCATTACTTCAAGAAAATAATAATTACTTCATTAAAGGACCAAAACGTGTTCATTTTTTATCAAATAAATAAATACATCAACTTAAGCCCATCATATAACAAAAGCAAGTCCATGATCATATCAGACTCTCTAAAATCAGCTGTGATTAAACAACAGAAGGTTTGTTGTGAAGTTGGGTGTGTCAGGCGGTGTAAACCACACCCTCTGAATGTCACTCATTTGACTCAAGTTTAAATGAGTCTTGTTTCTCTCACAGAGAGCGTCGCAGTCACACAGTGAAGTCACGTCAATGCAAAATGAACACAACGCTCTGAAGTAACCAGGGATGCTTTATTTGGAAGACGCAAAAGACACATTTCTGTAGTGTTTCATACGTTTCAGATCCAAAGGAACTTTCTTCAATATCTGTGACTGTCATTTAAATCGTCACCATGGGTGATGTGATTTCTACCAACCTGGACGAAGGCAAACGAGAGATGATTACAGGTAAAACGCGTTTGTGTTACTTTTAAAAGGGAAAAAGTCATTATTTGTACAATAGAGCTAGCGTACTTTAAAAGAGGACTGTTTAAAAGAGATGGGTTTAGTTAGCGTGGATACACCATCCACAAATATTTAAAGGGGTCATATGATGCTGCTAAAAAGAACATTATTTTGTGTATTTGGTGTAATGAAATGTGTTTATGCGGTTTAAAGTTAAAAAAACACATTATTTTCCACATACTGTACATTATTGTTTCTCCTCTATGCCCCGCCTTCTTGAACCTTTGGGCGGCGTTATGCAAATCTTCCCACACAGTTAGGTAGATATGTGGGGGCGTGTTCGAACGAGCCGTTTTAGGGGGGAGTGGCTGACTCTTAAGTTTTATAAAGAATATCTCTTTGGATTTGAGACTTTAGTCTTTGCAACTTTACAGATCTTCCTTATGCACCAAGAGCTTGTAACACTCCAAAGAGAAAGGAAAAAATGAAATTGCATCATATGACCCCTTTAAGAGATTTTTAGCAGACGCGTATACACCGAAGAAACCTGGACGCATTCGCGCGCTCAAAAACAACAGCGGTATGAGACGGAACGCAGGAGTCGAGATGCGTTTTTCACTCAAAAAAAAAAAAAATCAAAATCATAGTCATCATTTACCCAGACTGTCATTTTGTAATTTTCTTCCTAACTGCTTTTTATGTTCCACGGAAAGAATAAAGTCAAACAGGTTTATACAAGTTCATGAGGTTGAGTAAATCACAACAAATTTATTTGACGCGCGTCCTAAAAAACGCGACGCAACGCAACACAGACGTTCGCATATGTGTTCAATAACCAACAATTAAAAGTAACTCAGACTGAACCTAAGAACGCGTCGCGTTTAAACGCCCCCTAAAGCCTCAAGTATAGCCTACACATGCAGATTTAAGGCAGGCAACATTGAGTAATACATATTTGTATTAAAAACATTTTTGATATTGCTAATCCTGTTTTGAATTGATGTTTTTCCACTGTATAAACGTTTTAGGCGTTTAACGTTTTGGCAAAAACAGTTTTGCTAACTCTACTTTTTTTTGAGTATTCTTGGTATTTTTAATAGTAGGCCTACTTTTGTGTTCACAAATTATATTTTCTGCTATAACTCTAATAATAAGATGGTAAAATGGAAAAATGTCCTTCCATTGTGTGCCCATGAAGCTTCTACTAAGTATTTTTGCTGCATTATGCTTCCTCTAGTCTAGTTGGTTTGGAGAACTGGTTATATCCTCTACCTGTAAAGACACCCTTCATAACTATATATTAGTTCCTCTCCAAAACATGATGGGAAATAATCACGTTCCTTTAAAGAAATATGCTTTTGCAATTAAAGAGCTTTAAGGTGTGGAATACCGCAATTATGTTTACAACATTGGCTTTTTGAGTTTTCCTAGAAACTAACAGGAACATTTCATAGCTATCCAGTGTGACCAACCTGACACGTGGGAAATGAAATGTTACCAGTCCATAATTTGTGACGTCAGTAGTGGTTACTGTGTTTTGGATCTGCTTCTCATCTTTTTCCCCTCATGTCAATCATAGAAAGTATCTCTGGATGGAAACCGACTTGATAAATATAGCCTAAGTGTTCATTTAGAACAATCTTCAGTTGTGGAAAACTGTTGAAAAACCAGTTTGAGTGAAATGAACAGTGTGAGATAATTTCCTAACGTTATTATGGGAAAACAAAAGCTCTTTTGGCTGTGACTGGAAATTTTGGATCACCGCAACCTTGTATGTACACACACACATGCTCTAAGAACAAGTCAGGACTGGTTAAGAAGTATAGGTTTCATTGTGTGTGTTTGAAGTACCAGTCCGAATCTTTCACTGATGATAGGCTTGAGTCACTTGGTGAGCTGGCACTTGATGAAGTGATCGTCTTGTTCTGAGTTCATTTCAGAGAAATATTTAATTTCTGTGAGATGAATTCAGGTGGATCTCATGCAGGCGTGTATGCTGATGTCATAAAATACTGAGTGTATCTGCTGAGTCAGCCCTTTTGAAATTCCACCGCTGTTTAGTAATGAACTGTGGGAAGATGTTTGGTCTTCACAAGAGAAGGCCGCCCTCATAGACTCTCCCTTTATGAAGCCTGAAGCGGTTATGAAGATGTTTGTGGTAGATGGACAGGAGGTCAGGAGGTTGAAGGGAGGTTTGAACACAGGAAATTCCTCTAGGGATCTCTAGACCTCCCTTGTGAACTATTTGGCTAATAGGGCTGGATGTTTTCTGAGAGAGTGAGAGCAAGTATGAACAGGTCTTGGAGTAATGGGGAGGATCTTCTCAAGGTGTCATCATGCTCTCACACTTTTGTTTTATCTGTCTCCCCCATATCTTTCCCTCCCTTCCCCAGTTTCATAGACAGTGAAGGGTTCATCTGCTGACTGTGCATGTGGGAGGGGATGTTTGTCAGCTTTTGGTCTTTTACAGTCTCTGTGGTCAGTGAATAGATAGCTTTGACTTGTAGAATTCAACTTTTTAAACTTGTCACTAAGGTAAAATAATCTAAGTGGCAGTTAAAGTTTTGTTGAAATTGCAAGAATGTCTTAGGGAAGTGTTGGTATCAATAAATGTCTTATGATATTGTTTTTTTATTAAAAGTGTCTGAAGTATGATAATGACTTTCTTGGTGTCTTGTCTAAAAATCGAGTTATTGCAAATGTTCTTTGTAAAGAAAAATAAACCTTGGAAGAAAAGAAAAATTCGAATGAAACTATATAAATAAAAAAAATATAAACAAAATTTTCTAATTTGAAAGATTATGTATAAAGTCTAAAATAAATACATTTACATCCTAATATTTAAACTTTTCAAAGACAGCTATTTATTTTTTATGTATAGACCCAATTTATACTATAACATGAATAATTTGAAAGTGTAAATTTTATTTGAGAAATATTTAGTTTCTATTATGTTACATTATAAATTTTTTCTACTTGTAGTACTGTGCTATTAGGGTTAAGTACTGATTTATTAATGTATTTTTTGATATTTAGTTATTTGAATCAAATTTTTTTTAGTTTACTCTGTGTTTTTTTTTAAACTGTGTTTTTCTCAGTTTTTCCATGGACCTCCTAGGATTCTCATGCAGCCACCTGGGGGTCCAAGATTGAAAACTCCAGCTCTAATGCGTTTTAACACGCTCTGAGTGAAACCCATCTTAAGATGTGATGAGTGACGTGATGTGCGGTGTTCACAACAGCATTACATTACAGGGTTTATGTTGATAAGAAGTTTGCTAGCGAATCGTCGCCAGCACCTGTTCCACCTGTGCCAACTGAGCGTCTAGAAACACTCTCTGCAAATATACATGTGAATGAATACAGTGGAATAGTCCACACTGAGCCAAAGCAAACTGAGTCTACAAGTTATTCTAGTTTAATACAATAGTGGGTCTGCTAGAGAACGGTCTGCCCTCACAGACACACCGGCTGCTGCATTCATGCAATCACAACAACATGATTTTCATTCAAATGTCCTGTAACAAGAAGCTCCTAATCTGATGGAGTGCTTGAGAAATGAGGTGTAAGTGAAGAGATTCCTTCCTGTGGAGACCTACTGTAGGCCATGGTACAGTAAACCTGAATACCCAGAAGGCCGTG